TATATTTATATTATATTATATTAAAAACATTTGTTAGTATTATTGGTTCGGTTTTGGAAGAAAACCATAACCGAACCATATGTATTTACTTAATCAAATATAGAAACCGTATCACATTTTTAGTAATAGTTTGGTTAATTTGGTTTTGATTTAGTTTTCGGTTAATATGTTTACTCCTATTTTCAACAAACTTTTTCCCCATTCTCAATCTATTTTACATGACCGTCTTCCTTTTCCCTATCATTACCATCTCCAACCTCTTAAAAATTTAGATTTTAAAAGTTCAAAATCTCTTAAAAATTTAGATCCTATTAAACATCCATTTTACTTGAGGTAGTAATTTGGTTATTCTTAATGACCAAGAAGTTTCTACAATAAATCCAAAGATGTCAAAAGTATGGTCCTAGATAACACTCAAACCTTTAGTGAAATTGAAAAAAAAACAATTATACAGTTAATTGAGACACAAATATTAATTCGTAAGCAAGTCCGAGAAAAAAAACATTTTTGAAATGAAGATGCATGTTAAGGACAACACTCGATACTTTAGTAGCTACAATGTCTGCTTTCATGCATATAATAATCATGTAGGACGCAAAGTAATTAATGTTAAATCAAGGTTGTCAAGATTGAGATCGTAAGTAGGATCGTTTTTCACTTTGCAAGATTATGATCGTAAAATCGAATCAGATCGTTAGATCCTACGAAAAACATTTTAATACATAAAAAATACATTTTCACCGATATGTTCACAATTCAATTAACAATAAATTGTTTAAAACATAAAAAATACATATCTAATACATCACTTAGTGATAAACAATTCAAAATTGGTATTCTACACAGATAGTCGATGAAACAATATCATAATTTGTTTTAGAAAAATAGTTACAATCCTACGATCGATTCTACGAACTTACGATCTGATCCTACGATCCTACCATGATCTTACCGAAAAAGATCATAGTAAGATCGGGATCAATTTACCCCATTAGGATCGTATGATCCTACGATCAATATCACAGTTTTGACAACCTTATGTTCAATCTTTGAAAACTTCCATTTTCTGGGTCATGCGATTCTAACCCAATACGTCAAATATCCAATACTCATTAGTCATCATTATGTATTATCGGTTACTTACATTTTTATGAGATTTTGCCATTATTACGAGTCATATTTCTATTTTATCTTTCATAAGATATGGTCTTTAGTCGTTCCTTTTGGATGAAAATAGAGTAAACTTTATTGAAATCACTCTTTCTAACCGGTTCTATAAAGCCTCTTTAAAATGGATTGCATTAATTTCAATAAGTATACACTATGCCTTAGTCCAAAGATAGAATAAATCGACCATCCTTGTATATCTCAGGGTGATCAAATTTCCAAATGGATATGGTTTATTGAATTTTGGTCTTGTAACAACCTTAAAATCAGTACATCTTATTGCAATAAGCCACCATGAATCTTCGGATTAGAATTATGGCCACTTGGTATTGCAGAATTTCGTTTTTCAATAAAAGCTTGTATAAAACTATCAGAGCAGATTCATTAAAAGAAAATTAGCAACACTAAACAAAGCTCTTCATAGGCCCAATGTTTAGGACAAGCTCTTCATAGGGCCAAGCTCTTATTAGCACCATCTTTTGCTTAAAATCATCAATTTTATACCATTTTTTGCTTAAAAATTCCAAAAATCGAATTTCTAGGATTTTTTTTAATGTTTTTTTTTTTTTTTTTTTTTTAAATCTTTGTTTAATCTTTTTTGTATGACAAACCTTGTTGATTTTCGTTTATTATCCTCCACTGATTGGTATGTATAAAAGTTTACTTAAAAAAATGTCGAATTTCTAGATTTTAAACGGGTTTGTCCAGAAACTGTCTTGAAACACGGTTGGCCCAATACTTATATAACCCGACCCGACTCCATGATTATGTCTCGCGTGTAGCGTCATTACAACGCTTTTTGCATCTCCGTATATAGTGGACAGACATCATCAATCTTCTCCTTCTCCATTTCTCCCATTTTCGAACACGCTCGATTCTTCGTTAACCGCTCGTGCGAATCTACCATTGTCAAACAATCTAGGGTTACGGCACCAGTTTGTATTACTGTACTTCAATTTCGGATTCAATGTCTGCCTTTGGCATGGCTTCTGCTACCAATACCAATCCAAACAAGTCAACCGAGGTAAAGCGAAGCTTCCATAATTCACTTTCTTTATATGTTACTTTCCTTACACTTCAATTCAATCACTCAATGTGTCGTGGTATGTGTTTGTTGGTTTATTGATCTGTATGTTCCTTCAATTAATGTTCGTCATAAAGTGTTTCTGGTTTAGATAAAAGTTTTTACCGTTATTGTTTAGAATTTCTGTTATAACTATCGGTTCTGTATAGGTTGTATCACCTCCGACGGATGCTGTATCAAGCCTTTGTTTCAGTCCCAAGGCGAATTACCTTGTTGCTACTTCATGGGACAATCAGGTTCGTGTGATGTTAATCAATCCGATTGTGTTTATGAATCATTGATTCGTTAATTTTCTATTGCGCGGTATTCTATTACACGCATCGTTTAATGATTTGTTTCTGAATTTTGTTCTATCTATGTCTCCTGTTTGTAATTGCAAACTAGATAAATTCATGGATCATTTCAGTTCTAAGTGAATACAGACATACAGTTATGATCGTTATCGAACTATTACTTATGATCTGATTTCCATCATACTACGAAACAATTGCAGGTGAGATGTTGGGAGATAACAAAAAACGGAACTGCTCTTGGCTCTGTAGCAAAGGCATCAATAGCACATGATCAACCGGTAACATCAAGCTATATGCATTATTCTCACCTAGATAATGAACTAAAAACAATCATTCTACATTCTGATAACTCTTCTAGACTTCTAATCTCACCCTTTCTTTCATACTTGTAGGTTTTATGTTCAGCTTGGAAGGATGATGGAACAACAGTCTTCTCTGGAGGCTGTGACAAACAAGTGAAGATGTGGCCATTACTCTCTGGTGGACAACCAGTAACCGTTGCTATGCATGATGCTCCTGTTAAAGAGGTTGCTTGGATTCCAGAAATGAACCTTTTGGTATCAGGAAGTTGGGACAAAACTCTAAGGTATGTAATTAACTGTAATTCTTTCTATCTTTGAAACATTAATTTGATTTCCATATCTGCTTCATTTCTATTTCAATTTTTTGTGTTACCTTGTATAGATACTGGGACTTGAGGCAACCTAATCCAGTTCACACTCAACAACTTCCTGAGAGATGCTATGCACTTACAGTGAGACATCCATTAATGGTAGTTGGCACTGCAGATAGAAATCTTATAGTATTCAACTTACAAAACCCTCAGGTATTACTCTACTTCACTCACATCAATAAGCAACAATAGTATTATCATAATTTCTATTTTCTTTAAAAGATTTCAAAAGGGTTATGGTATTGACTGAATGTGGATCACAACAGGCTGAGTTTAAGAGAATTGCTTCCCCCTTAAAGTATCAAACTAGATGTGTTGCTGCATTTCCAGATCAACAAGGTTTCTTGGTATGTTTCTAATTCCATAACAAACTTTGTCTTTAAAATGTGTACTTTTTTTTTTTTTTTTTTTTTTTAATAATATGGTTTTGTAGGTTGGGTCAATTGAAGGGAGAGTTGGTGTGCATCATCTTGATGAACAACAACAAAGTAAAAACTTCACTTTTAAATGCCACAGAGAAGGGAATGATATATACTCAGTCAATTCTCTCAACTTTCATCCAGTAAGAATACTTTGTTATTATATAATTATACTTTCTATAATTAGGAAGATTTTTAATGTTGTAATAAACAAATTGACCCAATTTTTCAGGTCCATCAAACATTTGCAACTTCTGGATCTGATGGTGCTTTTAACTTCTGGGATAAAGACAGCAAACAAAGATTGAAGGTATTTCTATTAGCCATGTGACAAAATGACATGTCACCTTTTTGAGAATTATTATTTATCAAAAATCTAATTGTTTAACAGGCAATGTCAAGATGCAGTGCACCTATACCTTGCAGCAGTTTCAACAATGATGGCTCTATTTTTGCCTATGGGGTATATTTCTAGTGGGCCCCATTTGTTACACAGTTAAAAATTTTATTATGATGTTTGATTTGTTATTAATGAATTAATTTGTATTTGTAATGTTTAAGGTATGTTATGATTGGGGAAAAGGTGCTGAAAATCATAATCCAGCAACAGCCAAGACATATATTTACTTGCACATGCCACAGGTCTGAAATCTGAATGTATTAACTTTTTATTTATTTGTGGAATGAAAAATAAAATTTTGGTTAATGTTAATGTTAACAGGAGTCTGAGGTTAAAGGGAAACCTCGCATTGGAACAAGTGGAAGGAAGTGAATAGTGTTGTTTTCTATTTCTAGATTGTAAATGTAAGGATTTAATCAGTTTGTGCAGTTTTGCATTGATTCTTAGACCCATGTAGTAGTAGATAATGAGGTTTGTTTTCTAATATTTGTGGTCAATTGGTTGTTGGGATTTTGTTTTCTTGTTCTTTGATATTATGGGATATTTTGTGTATAGAGGTTTGTTTTAGTGAAATAATGCACAGTAACTAATAGCTGGAAAACTAACTGGTATCTGGAACCTAGCTAATAAAGAATGATGTTTTGTAAAACATAACGGATAAGCTAGTTGGAAAATATAAAATAATATAAAAAAACATATAGAAAAATGATTCAAATTCAGTTATCAACAACAAAATGTATTTATTTTGTTCATTTGGTTTACTACATAAAAAGACCAAAACACATTGTTCTTCCAATACCATTCAAGGTCTCTGCTTCCCACCTTAAAACTCTTAATCTATAAACACATTCAAAACAACGAAGACCAAAACTCTAGACACAATTCACCCCAAGAGTCCGAAACAAAAAAATATGCACAAAAGACAATAAATAACCAAATTAAAAAAAAAAAAAAAAAAAAAACCACCAATCATCTGGGGCCAGATAATTCATCAGGACGAAGGTTATAAGTTGAATCCGCAATAATCCAATCTGTATTTGTATTATGTGTCGCATTGAAGTCTTGTCTGAACATTTCTTCCTTTTGCCATTCTTCCCACCTTTCAGCTAACCCATCACCTTCCAACATTCTCACAACTTCAGACATTTTTGGTCTCTCTAATGGAGTCCCTTGTGTGCATAAAAGCGCTACTTGTATAAGCTGTTCCACTTCATCATAATTACCTTTCAAAAATCCACCAGTGTCTCCAACTTCTTTTCCCTTAAAAGCCCTTTCACCTGTACAACGTTTTCAATGTCACAAATCTTGGTTCATCTTTTCAACATTTTTAAATTGAAGTGTACAAAACTAATTTACCCAATCAAGCAACATGACATCATCATCATTGGCAAGTCTAGCAAGATCAAAAGCTCTTTGACCCGTGATAAGTTCTAGAAGCATAACACCATATCCAAAAACATCAGTTTTTTCCGAGGATTTTCCGGTTGATAAATACTCGGGGGCTATGTGTCCAATGGTCCCACGGACAGCTGTCGTGACATGTGTATCCTTATAATCCATAAGTTTAGCCAACCCAAAATCTCCTACAACCGCTTCAAACTCTTCATCCAACAAAATATTCGCAGCCTTTACATCTCGATGTATAATCTTCGGGTCACAATGATCATGTAAATACGCAAGTCCTCTCGCGGACCCCAATGCAATCCGCTTACGTATTGGCCAATCAAGTGGCTCTTGTGTATCCGGTCTCTCTACAATTAATCAATTTCGTTACTACAATAAACAAATTAACAAAAAATTAAAAATTAAAAATTAAAAATAATACCTCTTAAGCAAGATGCGACACTACCATTGGCCATATACGGATAAACAAGCAAGCGTTCGGTCGGTGTCATGCAAAATCCCCTCAACCGGAGTAAATTCCGGTGAACCGCCATACTAATCATCTCCACCTCCGTCTGAAACTGCAACTCGCCGCCCTGAGTCCTCTCCTCTTTCAACCGTTTCACCGCCACCAACGTCCCATCCGCCAACCGCCCTTTGTAAACTTTACCAAATCCACCCCGCCCGAGAATGTGGCGGTTGTTGAAATTATCGGTTGCCACTTGTAACTCGCGAAGAGAAAACCGCTTCAATTGCCCTAAATGTACCTCCGGATCCTCTTCGGCTAAACGATATATAAAGGAATGTGATTTTAGGGTTTGCGACTTTGAGTTGATGACATTGAAATCATTAAAAGTATGTTGCTATTTGGTGATTTTACTAACCGGGTACGTCAAAGAAATGATCCTGTGGTTTGCGGCGGCGCCACCATGCAAGTGCGATCGCCGGACCTGCAAATAGAAGGGCGGCACCCGCGGCAACTCCTCCCGCGATCGCCCCCGTCGCACTGTTGCCGACTGAAATAAAATGGCGCCGTTATTGACAGAGCAAAACAGGTTGTACTGTACTATATCTGACACTCTGATACAGGACAAAACAGGCTGTACTGTGTTTGACTAAGACTAAGACTAATGTCAATACAGGACAAAACAGGTTGTACTGTGTCTGACTGAGACTGGACTAGATAGTATGTAATGCGTCGGACTGAGACCGATGTCAATGAAACAAAAATTACAGAATAATGAAAAGTACCGGAAGGAGATGGGGAATTTGGTGGGGCCGGAGCTTGAGGAGAAACTGCGGGAGCTTTCAACTGAGGATTATTTGCAAAACTAAAAGAAGAAAAGTTGATTGTTAAAAAAAAGGTGTCAAATTGTTCATCAATGGAGGAGGGAAATGAATTGTAATATACCTTATAGGTGTGAAAAGAGAAAAGGAACCATTGACTGGAACATCTCCTCTTAGATTGTTGTTCGAAAGATCACTAAGATTGGTATAAATATAATAATTTACTTTAACAATCATAATCTATGTTAAAAAAAAAAAAAAAAAAAAAAAAAAAAAACATGTTTTGATACTTACAGAACTTGTAGTGAAGTTATAGTAGTTAACGAAATTGGAATAGTTCCCGTTAACGTGTTGTTGTTGAGACGACTAACATTGCAAAAAAACATGACATCAAAATTATTAAAAGGATTATAATAGCAATATGTAATCTAACACTCGTAAATATTTTACAAGTTTCATATTACATATTGTTAGGTAAGGAAATGAAAGTACGTTTTTATTATAAATAGAAAAAAAAAATTGAATTATGAGAATTCATACAGGAAACGAAGCTTTTGGAGTTTTCCCAATGTATCAGGAATGCCACCATCTAATCGGTTGAGATAAAGATCCAAACTTACTAAGTTTGTTAAGTTCCCAAGTTCAATAGGAATTCTTCCAGTAATATTATTACTGTAAAGTTCCCTGTTAAAATGAAAGTAAAAAAAAAAAAAAAAATTAGGGTAAATTTGTAAAAAGAGTTAGGAATTAATGGGAAAAATTCATTTCCCGACTTTCTTTTCTAATTCATTCTTACAAATATATAATGAAACGACTTACAAATACTGTAAATTAGTGAGTTCACCGAGTTGTGAAACGAGTTGACCCGACAAGTTTGCGTTTCCAAGATCACTGAGTATAACAATTAACAAACACGAAAAAGCACAATTTTTGTATTTAGATGATAACAATAATATCGAATCGAATAATATTAATCTTATGTTTAAGAAAAATAAGCTTACACTCGCGTAACGCTATTTTCATTATTACACGTAACATGAAACCAAGTACATGGGTTTACAAGAGTCGCATCCCAACTTTGAAGAACATTATTCGGATCACCTAACTGAGTCTTTAACGCATTCAATGCATCTCCTGTAATCCGAAAAACATGAAATTGGTGATCTTTTGAAGAAAAAATTGTCAAAATCGGGAAGAATTTGGGATATTTATGCTTTACATCAATTACCTATTATTAGAACCATAGCTACTACAATTGGGGGTGATTTCAAATCAAAACAAAACCCAATTGAAATAATTACTAAATTTGATTAGGCGACAGGTTTATCAAAGTAAAGGCAACACGTTCATTGAACTCAAATCAGAAGTCAAGAAAATGAGCATTGAATGCTAAAAAAGGTGATTCAAGAACAATAAAGCAGATACCTTCGGCATTCCCGTAGACTTTTGACAAGTTGTTGAACACCAAAATGAACCAGACAAGAACAGAAGCTGAAATCAAAGAAACTCGCCGATCCATTTATTGTAAACGGGTTCGGGTCGGTCAAGCTAAAAAACCTAGATTTCTCATCGATTACTCATTCAGATCAAGAAATTGGAAATACCCAGAACCCGAAACACCAAACCCTAGGTTTAGAGACAGCTCAAACGAACAAAATCTGTGTATATCATCCACAAATCGAATCAACCACAAAAGATGAAAACCCACTTCAAGAAATCTTGTATATGATGAAATCTAAAGAAAAAATTCGTGGGTTTTGCTGTAATCAGAGAAAGAGAAAGAAAGAGAGAGAGAGAGATTGAAGAGAGAGGGTGAATGGAGTTGGGATGAGGGAAGTCGTCGTGTAATTAGTCAAAGGTTCTCTTTTTCTGTGTTTCTCTCTCTTAAAGACAACTGGTTGTAAAAGAAGAGAGAGAGAGAGAGAGAGAGAGAGAGAGAGAGAAGGAGGACATTAACATTAGTAAAGAATGGGGGATTCAATTCATTCAACTTCTTTCTCTAAAATGATTTTTAAATGTCAAAGACAAGATTATTTTATTGCTTTTACTTTTCTTTACTTTCCATATGTACTTAACGGAATACGCCAATCTGTTGAAAAAATGTTTTGATCTTTTGAGAATTCATTAAAATGATAATGATAATTCCACCATACCATTGATGTTTTGTGAAAGAAAAAGAAAAGGACACAATAGGGGCAAACGATAACGGGGTCAAACGCACGCACGGGGTTGGACCCACAATGCTCGCCGCCTATTAGGAAAGATTGAAGAATTTTTTTTTTTTTTTTTTTTTAGAGAGAGACCTCCAAGGAATTCACCAATCACTACCACCCACCTTTTTTACCATTACAAAAAAACAAAAACCCTAAACCACATGAAAAAGAAACTTATCAAGAACTAATTACTAAAATTATTCATTTTTATATGCTAAATAATAATATTTTTGTTTTCACTGCCACGTAACTTGAAATCGTAATATATTTTTTAATTTATACATATTTGATCATTAAGTTTTTTTTTTTTTTTTTTTTTTTTTTTTTTTTTTTTTTTTTTTTTTTTTTTTTTTTAGTTATCATTTCAACTTGTTAAACTATACATATTCAGTCCTTATGATCAGCTATTACAAGTAAATAAAAAAAATGACTTAATAAGGTAAAATATTTATCATTTTATATACATTTAATATATATTTTTTTGCACATTTAGTTCTTACTATTTTTTCTTTTTTGCAAAATAAGTCATTGTTTTTCTACACATATAATACTTATGACCAATTGTTTTAGGTTTTTTCTTACGGCGTCCATCGTGGTACAATCATTAATATGGTGTTTGGAGTTGTTGATGTTTTGGGTCATCGTAGCCTCGACTGCTTGGTTGATCAGGTCTTGTGGTTGGGTTTCGGTTTTTTGTTCTGAACGTCGTAACTTCTTCATACGATCTCAAATTTTAATTATCTTTATATTCACGAGTTTGTATTTGAGTCTACTACAATTTACGTTTATATTACTCCTATTAAAAAGTAAAAATATATTATTTTTTAATGGAAGTAATCTAAACAAAATTTGTAGCAGAATCAAATACGAACGTGTGAATATAAAGATCGTTAAAATCTGACATCGTATGAAGAAGTTATGACGTTCAAAACACAAGACCTAAGCCAAACCATAAGACCTAAGCAACCAAGCATTTGAGATTGTGGTGACCATAAGCATCAACTGCTCCGAACACATTATTAATGTTTGTATCACGTAGGATGTCATGAGAAAAAACTAAAGAAATCAGTCATAAGTATTGAATGTGTAGAAAAACAACAATAACTTATTTTGCAACAAAAAAAATATTAAAGATTAAATGTGTAAAAAAAACATAAATGATTAAATGTATACAAAGTGAGAAATATATTATCCTATTAAGTCATTTTTTCCGGCTTGCCTAGTGTAGCAGGTCATAAGGACTGCATGTGTACAATTTAACAAGTTGAAAAGGTAATTGTGGAAAAAAAAAATAAACTCAGTGACCAATGTGTGCAAATCAAAAAATATATTACTCTTTCAAGTCGTTATCCTTATCATATAATCTATGAAAAAAAAATCAATCTTTGGATTTATGATAATAAGGTGAACAAAAACTGAAATCACAACGATTCAGTTTTTTATTTGAAAAACCCGACCAAATTCAATGTGGTGCATTTTATCTAAGAAACAATACCCTCAAAAACTGAACATCACCTCTATAATTGTATCTTAATGTTTCTTTTATGTTATACTAGACGAATTCTCGCGCGTTGCGTAATAATATATTTATATGGTTTTTTAAACGACAAACACCCACACAATTATTTAAATCATGCTCCTAATTCTACAAATTGTGATTTAATATGTATATATGGAAAACACTGTTAATAAAATATGTATCAAACATATATTTATTTCTATATATAACGAATAACAAATAGTATAAAAATAAATACAACAACTTCTGTCAATTTTATAAACTGTTTTAAGTTGTGTAAATTATATATAAAACGTATGTTGATTAATATATTTAAAGAATAACACATATATGAAAAACAGAAATAATATAACTTTTAATAACATAAAAACTACAATATCTACTATAACATTTGTAACAAAAAACTTATTAAACACTTATAAATCATACAAAAAATATAGAAATCAACATATATTTTATATATATAAGCATTATTGTTCCAAGAAAATCTGCATAATAATAACCATGATGTGATAAAACTCATTTTGTTTTCAACTCTTCATATTTTAATCAGGAATATCTTAAAACACGTGATTTTTTTGTGTGAAAACTTATTTAGATATTACTAATATGGATGCAATATATATAATTGAGAGGAAAACAAAAATTCACTACCAATTACTAACCATAAGTTAAAAAAACTTTTGAGTTGTAGCAAAGAACTCCAAGTAGAGCTCATGATAGATGACCTTCTGAGTCCTAAAGATTCGATGCGACCCCTGGTAGGTAAAAAGCCCAATACCGTTATCATCACTAAGGACCCGAGTAAGATACAATTCCAAACGCACCGATAGTCCAATATGATTAGCGGTCTGCTATACAAGGGCCCAAGGAATACTGAGATGCTTGCACAATAGAGCAGTCAACCGGGAAACGAAGAAGCTCCGGTCCTCAGTAGGAATATCATTTGGGAACTATAAAAATTGATGAGACATCCAGTTAGGCGGTAACTGACCATCTTTCTAACAACCTGATCGAGACATCACCTGAGAAAAATAGGGCAAGTTAGTTAGAATTAAGATAAGGAAAGTAAAAAGGATTGCAAAATAACAGAATATACTTCACACGCATCAAGAACTGTGCCACGCGCATGATGAAGATGTGCAACGCGCAATGAAGATGCATGACATGCTTCAAGAACACGACAAACAGTCGGTTCCAAAAGCCCCTAATTTGTCGAAATTTTAACCAAGAATCTAGGGGAATGTTAGGCGGAGCTTATATTGGTAAAATACACTATCAATTTGGTTTAAAACATCACAAATTGATGGATTTAGCAAAACCCTAGGTTTTAACCCCAAAACCGAAAACCTCAAATTAAGGATATATTAACTGAGTAAAGGAAAAATTGAGCATTGGGGTTTAATAATCAATAGTTAAACTAGACCTTTTGCTAATCAATTTCGATTATTATAAGCCAAAGTGGGAAAATCCTATAAGACCTCAAAAACACTAAATACGAAATCATTGGTTGTTATGAACTAAGTTGAGGTACCTTGGAAGTAGGAGGAGTCGAAGAATCAAAGCTCGAAAATGAAAAGTGCACGACGTGCTCGTCGTGTGTGGGATCCAGTCAAATGTGACCAGTCAAACTTTTGAAGTGTGTGTCGAATAAAGCCAAAATTCGTCATTTAATATTGATCTAATGAAGATGCGTGAGGCGCATACATCGTGTCTGGCACGCATCACCCAATTTTTTAAAAAAAAGTTGACACTTTTTACCCCAAATTTATTTTAGCTATTAATATTGCACCTTAAAAACTAAAAAGCCATTAGCTTAGAAACCTTGCCTTTCCAATGCCGCAAAGCGCAAAAGGAATAAAGTACCATTATTCATGGTAATTTCCTTAAATGAAAATGAATCTTATTTAAAGACGGCCAAACCATTTAGGAAAAGCATGGGCCGATAAGAAGACAGGTTGCTAAAAAATTAACTGGTTAGAAATCATAATATGTAAGAAGAATAATAAATTCCCAAAAACAGATATGGATTGAAAAATTTTAAGTTTTACTAGTCAAATCTATGTAAAAGAGTAACAAACAACCTCATTATAGTACGACAACACGACAACGTTAACCCTAGTGGACACAACCACCATCAGGTCAATGATTGAGCGTCAAGTATCAAATATTCTCGGAAATTACGAAGTAGATAGAATGGAAGGAAATATCGACCAATGAGATGAAAAAGATAAGCAGATAACAAGCACCTACAAGGAGTTTGTCAATAGCAAACCAATAACCTTTTATGGAGACGAAGGAGTAAATGAATTAATCCACTAGATAAAAGAGATGGAAAGCAAGTGTGACAGAGATTGTAGGGTAAAATTTACAACCTGCACATTTATAGGTAAGGCTCTTATCTGATGGAATGCTTAGGTCAAAACCTTAGGTGTAGACAAAGCTAACGCAGTTCCATGGGAAGAACTGAAGAAGCTAATGATAAGAAAGTTTTGTTCTAGGGAAGACATGAATTAAGTGGAACAAGAATTCCACCACCTGACTAAAAGGAACACAAGTTTGGCCACCTATACCATACACTTTAACGACCTAGCCACAATATGTCCAGATTTGATCGACTCAGAAAGTAAGAATATCAAAGCATACATCAAAGAGCTAACTCCATAGATGCAAAGGATGATGTACACAACCCAACCCAATACCTACAAATATTCTAGATGGTTAGCCTTTAATATAACAGAACTCGTGATCAGGAACAAACCATTCAACTCAAGGAAGAGTAAGAAATGAGTCAAGGATTTCAGAAGGAAGTGGGAAGAAGGCCCCAAAGGAGAATCAAGTCCACCCTCATGGAGAAAAAGAGACATCAATAAGTCTCAAGAAGGATTTCTAATTCCAAGAGAGTATTTGGGAATTCTTCCCAAGTGTGACAATTGTAGTTATCACCACCAGGGTAATTGTAGGGAACTAGTTTGTGATAGTTGTAGTAGGAAAGGACACACCGTAAAGTCTTGCCGAACAAACAAATCCAGTGGAGAAATACTTGAAGCAAAGTATCCAGGGGTAATAATGCATTAAGGAGATACTAGGATTACCTTATAAAACATATATGTAATTCTTAAGATATCAAGTAAAAGGACTAGCAATCCTTGAAATGTATACCTTGAAAAAATGTAATATATATACGTGTCTACTT